GGCTCAGTCGTTAAGCATCCGCCTTCGGCTCAGGTCATGATCCCAGGGTCCTGGGATCGAGCCCCACATTGGGCTCCCTTCTCCGTGGGAAGCCTGCTTCTCCTCCCACTCCCCCTGCTTGTGTTCCCTCTCTCGCTGTCTCAATCTGTCAAATAAATAAATAAAATCTTTAAAAAACAAAACAAAAACCTGAAAAAATCCAGGGTAATTGCTAAACCAGATGAGATGCCAAGTAGAGCAGGTGGAAGCCAGACCTGTCTCAGGCAGTTACACAAAATGCCTGCAGTTTAACATCTGCATCAGTACAGTTCTGTTAATTTGCTTGTTATTGGACCCAGGTGGCTGCTAGTCAGGTCAGGAGCTGACAGACCCCTTTGGTGAACCTTCCTTTATTCTTAGGAGATGAAAACACGTAAAAGGATCCTAAACTGTTACTGGTTTGAGGAGGAAAATATATTTGTCTAAATATTAAGTTGGAAAAACTTGGGAGAAAGGAGTAGTAAAGGAAATCTATCCAGACTTTGAAGTACTGGGTGTTTTGCAGCCAAGAAAAATTGAGCCAAATCACTAAGTCTAAGGATTATTTCTTGTTCCCATTAGGAACATTTTATAAAACATACGATCCACGTTTACGGCTAGAACTTACAGAAATACTTTATTTTTACTTCGCACGTTTTGTGGGATTTATTCGAACTATCTTTTCCTATGGAACAGTTCTGCTGTACCTGGGAAGAGGCTGCTTGTTGAGCTTTACCTCATTTAGGAAAGATTCACACGGTGAAGAAAGGGCAAAGGTCTTTTCCTATAATGAGACCCTTGTGACCACCCTTGCCAGTCAGTGGGTGACATATCCCAGCATGGTTTGGAGTATTTTATGGAAACATTTTCAAAAAGCTGCATTTTTTCCTTTAAAAACACCTTTCCAAAAAATTTTTTGATGTACCTTTTCAAAACCAATTTTTTTTTTCCAGTGGCACCTGGCCACTCCTCACTGGGGGAGTATATTAATATCCACCCTTATTGAATCAGAAAATAATGTTCTACACAATTTACAGTAAAACAAATGTATCTTAAACATAACGTGCTTAAGCAAAGTACTCTGGGAGCAATAATTTGAAAGTCACTGATGGGAAAAATTTTATTTTGGCACACATGAGTTCTTTCCTCCGAAAACTCAGTTATCAGAAATTCTAAAGTCTACCAAATGGCTATTTTATAGATTGAATTTTATATTCTCTCCTCCCCCTATTTTTCTTTTTCTTTTTTTTTTTTTTAAAGATTTTATTTATTTATTTGAGA